CACGACATGACGATGGCGACATGATGGTCACGACAAGACGATGGCGAAATGATGTTCACGACAAGACGATGGCGAAATGATGATCACGACATGACGATGGCGGCATAATGATGGCGCCATAATGATCACGACATGACCATGGCGACATCATGCTGCTGTGATGATGATGACGACATGATTACAATGATTCTGTGCTTTTTATCGAGGTGCGCGGCATGCTGCATACCAGCGAATTCGCTCCGCTGTTGCAGACACCATGGAAACGGGCCGTCGTCATGTTTTCGAGTAGTACTCCGCACTCGCACAAGAAAAGACGTCGACTTTGTTGTATGTTTCGTCGTCCCGATGATGCCAAAACCTGGCTTTGTAACATCTGCGCGCGCGTACTTCCAAGCCAGAAGTACGTGCGAAGACAACATGTTCCGAATAATGTGGCTCTGCTGCGTGTTTGCGGCGGGTCTTTCGCGCTCTTACAGCAACTTCTTTTGTTATACTTCCCCATGGATTCCGGGAAACCCCCAGGCATACGCCTCACTTGAACTCACACACATTCTCAAAACATATCGGTCGTTTCGCTATGCTTACCTGGCACGGGGCTTTCTTTTTCAGATCCCACGCATTTTCGAATCCCCCACCCTCAGTTTTAGGACACCAAACCAGAGCATCTGGGGCTCAAGGGTTCAAGAGCTTGAGGGATCAACTGGCTTTAAGCTCTCGGCATGTTTGATGGCTCCGTCGGCGCACCGCTCTTGAGGAACTATTTAGGATTCAGTCCTATCCCAGGGAGTGGAGTGCTGGTGTGCTAACGTTTTCGGGCCTCGGCTGAAGCACGGCAGAAGAGGCAATGCTGGCAGTAATCAAGTCCGGTTTCAAAATTGTTTCGTTTAGTTTACAGTTTACAGTGTACTCTCAGAATCTTGTATTCACCAAGCCGTCGAGCGTTCTGTGTCTCCTACGCCAGGTGGCGAACTCGATTTGGGCACTCCCAAACGGGCGAGGCGCGTAATCTACCTCACCCTGGGGTTTGGGGTTGGGGCCTTTGGGCTTAGGGAGCCCGAAAATTCAAGCACTAAACCCCTTAGCGCCGAATGGTAGATCCTGCTGGGCAGTTTGACGCGGGCCGTGCCCGAGCTCTTTTTCGGTTCTTGTTCTGGGGTAGTTGGTCGGGAACGGAAGAGCTTGTGGCTTGGGTTGCGGGTTGAGGGTTCAGGCTGTAGGGCTAGGTTGGGAATAATAATGCTTCTCTGAGATCTGACTTCTTGCCAGAATCACATCGGAACCTTATTTCATGTAAAGGCTGTCGGCGTGAAGCTTGAATCGGATTGCAACCGCAAGGCTCGCCCAAACACAGACTCCAGTCTTTCTGGAAGCGGCATGTGCAAGACCGGAGGCCTCAAAGCTAGCGATCAGCCCTGTGGAGCCATCGACCAGCCGACGCACAAAAGCAAGAGGCCCTATACACCCGAAGACTTGCGAAAGGCTCTTTAAGCACGGTAGCAGTACCCCAGAGGCAATACTGTCTTTTTCCAACCTTTTGTGCAACTGCACACGACACATCAAGGTGAACTGAGCTCGTTTGTGTCCCCCCCAGGTCGAGGCCGACGCGGTCTGGCCGGAAAGTGCGTGTCAAGAAGGTTGGAGCGGGTTGGAGAATAGAGGTCAGTCTTGGGATGCGGTGTCTAGTTCAAGTTTGAGGGTTCAGGGCATTGAGATGATGAGAAGCGCAGGGAACCTCGGTTCCATCCGTTGCACCGGCCAACACCCGTTGTCGCCACCGCCGCAAATCTCCACCTTCCAGCGCCAACATCGGCCACGGCGCCAGCCGAAGCAGTACTGACTCCAGACCCATGGATCGAAGTGGGCACTTTGTAGTTACTGCAGGCACCCCGTTTTAGGCCGCCGGCCCGGCCTTAAGCCAATTCTAGACTGCTGGAAGCCATGTGAAAGGCGTGCCACTTATGAATGGAAGCCATGGCAGATTGCCAAACGCTTTGCAGTTCCCAGTCTCGACGGTGGAACCGTGGAACACATCCAACAAGCGAAGGCTTGGAAATCTCACCTACAGCCGGAGGAACCTCCTGAAACTGCTTCTAGCTACCGACCCTTGCGGCAAAAAACAAAATAGTTACGAGTCTTGCAGCTGTCCGATGCCGGTCAGTATAGAGTTAGACTCTGGCAGCATCCGAAAGTTGGTAGCAAGTGCGATGCTATGTTCCGTGGCACAAACACGACCCTAGGTCGCATGAAAATCCTGACGGCTGTCCGCGGCTGATGTGCTCCCGCGTACACCCGAAGACCTCCACATCTGGCCTGGTCCGAGCTCTGCGAGACGGAGACCTACAACTTGTCCGGAACACCTGTGCCACACCTGTCGAACTGATAGCCATGTCCTAGCCAGGCGGGAGGCAAAAAAGATAGGAGCCACGAGTCTCTAAAGCCCCTGAGCCTAAATTCCGATGCTTCACCTTGAAATGGATCTGATTGCAGGCCGTGCGCACTGGTGGGGCCGCGCGGAAGATGGAAGATGGGACCGCTGGGGCGCCTAGAACATGTCCAGAGAATAGGAGATGGTGTCGTGCAGCCGGGTCGGGGACGTCTGAATTCATGGATGAGTTGAAGCTGCGCCGCATATCCGGAAGCCCTTTCCTAAAACTTGAAACCTAGAGCGCCATTCACGCAAAGCTCCAAGCAACCCGACGCCTTCACTAATCCCAGAAGATGTGAGCCTCAATCTTGACTGATATTGTGGGGTTCAAAAATATCAATATGGACCCGAGTGCGTGATTTCTTCCATAAAGCTTCAGATCTGGCTTCGGGGTAGAAGCAGCCTTAAACCGTAAGTCCTTCGGATTCCATAAAGAGGCACATTTAGGTGGCAAAACATCTCAAACTCTCGACCTCAAGCCGTGGATCCTACCCGGCAACCTGGCCTGTGTGCAGGTCTTAGGAGTTTATGGATCCCCTGAGAGCCTCGCCTGGCCCTGCCGAGTAGTGAGTGCCAGCAAAATCTCAAGACCCGAAGCCTGAAATGACCCGCAACCCTACGAAGCCGCAGCCCTTACTAAGCATCCCAACCGTTCCTGAAGCATTAGTCGACACTTCTGAACCTTTAAACCCTAAGCACTGTCCCGTGACGCTCGCCAGGACGGACTGAGTAAAGCTATATAGCGGCTTTGAATGTCGGCCTACGGATGCACTTTCCGGTATCTAGTCGACATGCTCTTGCGATGATCATGTAAGCTGATCATTCACTGCACCCCGCAGCGAGCACTAACGCCGAAATCCTAGCGCCCTAAGCCTAAGCCCCCTCAGGACTAAAATTGTAAAGCGGCTAAACCCAAAACTTTCCAAAACGAAAGCGCCGTCACTTCAAAGCCCTCTCAGGTGGTGCAAAGCGACGGCTCTAAGGTTCGGCACTGAAACTTTGTCGGGTTGCAACAGTCCCGATTCAAAAAAATAGCTGAGGTCTTTGTTTAAATATAGAATACGTCCCATAGATAGTACGTTCAGGGCTTCGGGTTCAGGGTTTATGGGTCTTAGGTTGTCGGGCTTGGGAGTTCTGGCAGGCAGCCCAGTTTCAAAAAAGGGCTTGGGACTCACACATCTGGGGATATCTAGGGTTGTTCAGGGTGAGGGCTTTGTGGTTTGAGTTATTCTTATTGATCGTGTTTGAGGTGATGTCTTTCCGGGCCTGAAAGTGCAAGTAGTTGTAGCAATTCCTGCCATAGGTGTCTCTGGAAGTTGGTCTGTCTTTGCTGACGTGCTTTCAGACGCACAGCAGGGCTCTCCCTCTATGGCAGTAGTAGGAAAATATCGGTGTGGCATCTTGCGGATATGCAGCAACTTTCCGGCTAGTTTGCAGGTTGAAGTAAGCTTGTCTCTGTTCATTGAGATGAGCCCGCCTAGACTTAGACATTGGACTCGGCGGCATTCATGCAAAGCAAAAGCGTTGATGCAAGGCCAATTGTGAGATGTGCAGAGTAGTCCAATGGGGTGGTTCAGGTTGATACAAGATGTTGCCTTGCTCTTCCAGGTCTTGAAAACAGGGCTTTCCAAGTCTGGCTACTCGCAGAAGTTATTGTTGACATCATCGACCCGCCACCACTGTATAATGCAAGTCAGTTGTGGCATTTGTCAAAGCACATGGCACGATGAAGGTATGGTTTCTGCCTACAGCTTTTCTTTCTGAGCCACCCTGGAATGCGGGCTCGTCTTTGCTTGGGGAGTCAAAAAACCCTGTACTATCCTACACTTCGCCCCCAAAGTTCAACGAGGTCCTGGCCGATGGGACAAAGGTGGAAGCCGACGCTGCCGAAGTTGCAGCACGTGAGGACCAAACGCTCGTGTTCTATATGGTTTTGTTGGATTCTACGGGATGTTGGGGGTTGCTGTGTCTCCAATTGCTTGAGACTAAGAATCTTTTTGCAGCCCTTGCCGGGAGGGATAGCCTGGCGGCTATCGCTAAGGGCCTGTTCCTGTTGCGTAGCTCAAACTGCGTTGACGTTCAAGCATCGGCCTTTTTCAGTGTGGCGAATTTGAGATTCCAGGAGAAGAGGAAGCGAGCGGAGCAGCTTGAGGCCCGAGATGTTCCATCTTACGGGGTCGTTTTTTAAGGGGTCACAAGTTCGCATCAGCTGTACATGGTCTTGTGTCTTCATGTGCAAGTGCAGCCTTAGGGTTGGTATCTTTTCCGAGCATACCTTGTGCAGCATGGCTTTTTTCCGAAAGCTGTGGCTGAGTAGAGAAATTCTGAATCCACGCTTTGGGCCCGTCCCCCGTCGCACCTTGCTGGGAACAGTTCCAGTATTTGGGGACCCAAAAGGGACATAAGTACCTTATTGGGCTTCATGATAAGGGGGTTCATATGGGATATCCCTATGCTAATTTTTGCTTATGTGGTGTCTTGGGGCCCGAAGTATGTCCCAGTCTCAGAGCCGATAGCCTTTTGTGGGATTTTCCTCGAGTGTGTGCCTGGATGACGTTGATTGCTCGAAGCCTGAATCACGTTTCGGGGCGATTGAGCCTTTACATTTTTGGGTTGTTTGTTGTATGCCGGAGCTTCAAACTGCTGCTTAAGTCTCTTAAGAGCCTAGTGTTCTCCCTCCTCAGTGATTCCTTGGAGATGGGGGGATTTGGGGAGTTGCAATGGTTTAGATTGGTTCTGGATATCGTAACAAGTTCTCTTGGGGATTGCCTTGTGTGAGAGTGAGAGTCGAAGCCATGTTTCGGCACCTTCACCGCGCCCGAACGTCAATCATTCGAGAGAGTCGGTTCAGGGTCGGGGCTGCAAGGCTCAGGTGTAAGAGGCGGTGCGGTTTAACATTTGGGGAAGGTTTGGTGCGGAAGGCGGGTGCTTTGAGGCCCATCACTGGTTCCAACACGCGCATAAGCATCTATCTCTACATCTCTATCTATACCTGTTGTCACCGTCTGTATCTGTATCGGTATTTATACCTGTATCTGTACCTGTCTCTATCTGCATCCGTATCTGTACCTGCATCTACATCTACATCTACATGTTTTTTTTTCGCATCTGCATCTGCATTTGCAGCTGTATTGGTATCTATATCAAGACAATCTTCATCCAGAGGTATATTTAGACCCCTTTCTATCTGTATATCTATCTACCTACCTATCCACTGTATCTGTCCATCGATCGATCTTTCTATCTATCGGTCGATCGATCTACCGATCGATCGAGCGATCTATCTATCCATCTATCTATCTATCGATCGATCTATCTATTGATCGATCTATCTATCTATCGTTCGATCTATCTACCGATCGATCTATCGATCTATCGATCTATCGATCTGTAGATCGATCTGTCGGTCTGTCGATCTGTCGATCGATCCATCGATCGAGCGATCCATCTACCTGTCTATCTCGAACTGATGTATCTATCAATCTATCCATCCATCTATGTATGTACGGATTGATATAGAACTGTCTTGCTAAATCACCTGTTGTTCCCGCAGCCCTCATCCCACCTGCACCCGAACCTCTCAAAGCCTGAAATTGCTTTCTTTTTCTTTGCACGAGGTGGAGGCCGAGGAAAAGAGGAAAGCCGCGGAAGAGGCCCTAACGACGAAGCATAGAAGCTTGGCGCGTCTTTCTCGAGTTTGGGGGTGAGGGGTTTTGCAGGGGTCATATAAACGTCAGCCGGCACGTCAGGAGCTCAGTCTTGATCTTCATAAGGTGTCAAGGATAGTTGCGTTGGGGTTTTGAGGCCCGACGGCATGGGCAATTCTGGCAACGGCCGCAGTTCTGGCCAGCTCCGCTTCAAAAGCCACAACCTTCGACACCTATTCAACATTCAGAACCTTGAGCATGTGATCGCCGACTATCTCGCCCGCCTGCCCGCGGTGCACAGACAACGAACGAATCTTAAACTCGTCCTCCATCGACCTCCATCTGCCCCATCCAGTGCACGGTTGCATTTATCACTAGGCTGCCATTTTGGTTTGTCCTTGCATGAGGCCGTAGAACCATCAAGCCTGTATGGAACATCCGAGTTGGAGTGTCAAAACCCGGCGCAGGAGGCCAAGAGGAAGGCCGAGGCAGCAGCGGCAGAAGCCGAGGCAAAAGCGGCAGAGCGCAAGCGCGCAGGGAGGCTCAGGGTTTGCTAAGTTTGGCATTTGGCACCGAAAGGTGATGTTCTGTCGTGTGATGTTCTAGGCCAATGAGGGGGATGCTGGATGAGGGCTTTTAAAAGGAGCCATTCTTGAAAGGTGTTTTGAGCAGGCCCCACAACCCTTAGGATAGACACGGTACCAGATATCACCTGACCCTCCAAAACTGTAACTGTTAGTGCTCGGAGCTTCGAGATTCAAATTCGCCACCCAGAAACGAGCAGCTTGCCGCATGATGTTCCTAGGGCCTAGGGGTCCGTTGTACAGAACAGGGAGAATTGCGAGTCACTTGCTTCCACTTGCTGCACGGCCTGGGTTCCATTCACTTCAGGAAATCGCGTTCGTAGCAGATTTCGAGGTGACACGTCCTGTTTGACATATTGACATGCAAGAAACAGCATGTGCGATTGGAAACGCCTGCTCGATCTTCAAGCAGCCAACAGTCTGGCAGCCTCTCTGTATCGGGTATGTTCGAAGACGGTCTGCGAGCCGCTGTAAATATAAACTCATATAAACTCCATAGGACTCAACGAAAGTCGAGAGATGCAATTGTTCATGTTTTGTGGTCGACCCGTTGCAAATTTCAGCAGATTGGGATATTTCCGCGCGAAGTCACAATGCGCAAACTCTGACTTTACCAACCAGAGGCTTTGTAACCCTCTGAAGCTATTGAGGACTTATCTTGGACTAGCAGCTCGCACAATATCGGCATCAGGATGCTGGCCTGAACAAGCCAGAATTTCCTGATGAGCCGAGCCCGGCAAAAGTGTAAACAACAATTTCCAGCTTTATAATATCATATAGTATAATTTACTACAATATAAGAATAATATACTAATAATAACAATATATATATATATATATATAAATCATTTTAAATATAAATATAAATATAAATAAAGAGAGAGAGAGAGAGAGATATATATATATATATATATATATATATTGTCATCAGCCCTTGGTCACGAAATCCGGAGCCCAGGCCCTAGAAGAGCAGCACGAGTCACTGCCCGGGGCCTTCGGTGGGGGGGGTCTTTGGATGTCTTTGGTGTTTTGGGATTTCGGGCTTCGGGGCCGGGCGAGCGTTGGGGGCTTCAGCTTAAATCTGGCATCGTGCGCCCATGCGCTCGCGCATGTGTCTGTGTACTGAAATTTCGCGACGTCCTCCAATCCACCATTGTTATTATTGGTTTCAGCGTAATTTAGGACCGTCTGTCTGTCTGTCTGTCTGTCTGTCTGTCTGTCTGTCTGTCTGTCTGTCTCTTCGTGTCTGTGGGTGGGTGTGGGGATGTGCGTGTGCGTGCGAGTGCGCGTGCGTGTGCGTGTGCGAGTGGGCGCGCGCGTGTTTGTTTGTGTGTTCTGTATGTTCGAAATCTTGGATGGCGGCTACTTCAGGCAGGGTGCCAGCCGTAGGTTGGCCGCAGTAAGCATCGACGAATGAACAACGTAACGTGGCTTGCATGGTTGTATGTCGTTTTGATCAACACGCGTGGAGCATTCGGTTGATGAACGATAGCCTTTCTCTACACTTCCTGCCGTTTCTGATTTATTCTGCGATCACTGCATGGATTTGACGTTTTGACTTTAAACATGACCATAGGTACTGGTGCCAAGCTTTAAAGCATCGCTTGGAGAAGTTCAGCATATTTCGGGTGTGTGTTGTGCATTGTGGACTCCTCAAAATCGCCTGCGCCGTTCAGTGTCAGCTGTAAGTAAGTCAGGAAGACCAGCCCAGCTCAGCTGGCTTCACATGGGACAGCAAGGCAGCGTCAGCGAACCGGCCCCATCCTTTGTGGATGTGTGTGGTGCGCTGGAGGAAGGTGAGCGAGCGAACAAGTCCTGGACATTGGATTCGAACCAGTCGAAGATTCCGGACAAGTTCCAGCGACTGGCGCTACTCGGTCATCTGGAGGTGGATGCCGAAATCGCTCGTGGCATTTCATTGAAAGAGTCTCTGCAGCGGGGTGGGCAGCTATGGCTGACCCGTCCGCCGAACTTGGATGAGAGGTCTCGCGCGGCACTATGGAATCGGTCCCGGCCCGTAGAGCATTTTGACCTCTTCCTTTCTCACACGTGGATCACAGCAGGCAAGTGGAAACTCTTGTCGCTCTTGCTGCAATTTGGCTCGCACAAGGTACTCTTCGTCTGGGTGCTCGGAGTAAGCACTACAGCCGCGCTCACTGTACTTGGAGTTCTGCCATCTCCCTGGACGGTCCAGGTTCACCTTCTAGACTGCCACCTTTCCAGCGCTGTTGGTCCGTGGATTCTTCTTGCCAGTGTTCTTGCTACTGTCTTCGGGCTGCTTGCCGCACCCTACTTTCCAAGCATACGTCGTCGGTCGGATGTTTGCTTCGTGGACGTGGCCAGCATACACCAGTCAGATACGGATCTCATGGAGAGGGGTATCTACGGAATAGGTGGGTTTCTTAGCATATCTTCGGAGCTGCGAGTGCTGTGGTCGGCTCCATACTTGTCAAGCTCCTTGGTGCAGTTGGACAATGGATGTTGCTGTTGTTTTTGTTGAAAACTTTCCCTTCCAACTGCTGAGCATGAGCGAACATGTTGTATCCGAGGATTGTGGTGTGTCTTTGAACTGGCAGCATTTCGGACGGCTAATCCCGCCGGCAAGATTACTCTGTCTCCACTCTTCGTGGAGCTGATCGTGGTCCTGATCTTGCTAATGCAATACTTCCATAGCACTTTCCTGTGGGCCCACTGGGCTTGGCGTGGTGACGACGAGTACCGGCACCTGTCGCACATGATAGGCGTCTTGCCGTGCTTCTTCATGATGCACCTGCTGCGCAAAGCGCACCTGCTCAAGCATGAGATGTTCTCCAACTTGGAGCCTCCACTGCCCTTTCTGGTTTGTTTCTGATTTGTAATGTGAATAATTACCGGTTTGAAACCCGATGTGCTTCAGCTCCAGGAAAACTTCGACATCAGCCAGGCTGAATGCAGCAATGATTTCGACAAAAGCTTCATCCGTGCTGCAATTGTCCGGTGGTACGGCAGCGAGGAAGCGTTTACCGAGTTCGTGCGAGGCCCATTGCGTGAGGACCGTCGTCGTAGTTGCCGGGGAGGCGTAACTGGGGCCATGTCCGGTCCGCGTTCGGTCACCGTACAAAGCTGTTTACCGGAAGCCGGATTTCTCTGCGCCCAAAAGCACTTTCGGTATAGTAGCATGTTGCTTAGGACATCCCCACCGACACTGCCAGCGGAAATCCTTGAGAACCCGAAGATGCCAACCCTGACCTTGTAGACCCGTGCGCAACCCCTACAGCCTCGAAATCCTAAATCATTCAGTGTTAAAACCACGAGGATCTCCTGAACAAGACTCAATGCTGTACATTCCTGGACTACGAGCTGCTGCTGCTGACGCCTGCAGCTGCCTCTGGGTTGTGCCTTGAGGGTATATGGCAGGAGGCTTGTATCTACTGTGACAGTCGTACTTGTACAACCAGTACATTCAACCTTTGCATGTTCGAATCGCCGCCAAAGCTTCGATCCGTGGGAGTTTGAAGATAAGTCAACAGCCCTTATGATGCGATTTGGGTTTCGGCCTGGGATTTGCGATTTCCGGTTTATTGGGCTTGGGGCTTTATGCATTATGTAGTTAGATCGATGTTTTAAGGGTTCTGTCCCACCGGACACGGTCTTTAGAAGTCAATTTTTGGAAAAGGCACCGAAGGCCCCGCAAGGCTAATCGCTAATTGCGAGTCCCTGAAATATCAGTCCTGTATCAGTCCTGACCACAAGGACAGGCCTTTGCGCAGTCGCGCGGGCAGGTCCACCTGTGCAGACCCTTGCTGCGCTGGCGCCGCCGGCTCAGCTAGGGGTTCAGGGCGTGGGAAGTCCTGTCCAAGCTTGATGTAGTTCCGACGACTGGCTGGATGCATGTATACATGTCAAGCTGTTCATGCATGCATGGATGGATGGGTGGATGCATGTACGGATGGATGTGAGCGTATCACCAACATAAGTACGTAGGTACGAACGTACATACATGGAAACATGTATACATATTATAGGTATACCATCAGTTAATGAAACGTCTGGGGGTTTATGAAAACCAGCACCCAGAGAGAGAGAGAGAGAGAGANNTGTGTGTGTGTGTGCGCGCGTGCGCGTGTAGTACAACATCAGCAGAAAATTGGGTCTCTGTATGTGCATGTGTCTGCAGTTGAATGCCAGCTCATGGACTCAACACCCATGGTGTTGAAGTCAGCCCAGAGGGGTTGCAAGCAGGCCAAGATATGGGGTTCCCATGTTTGTCAGCAGACCGCGTGTTTCCTTTCATGCCTGCCTCACTTAAATTGATTGCCGCCTGCCGCCTCGCGAAAGAGACTGGAGAGTTTGAAAGCAAGTAGCTAACCGCTCGAAAGAGACCAGAGAACTTCAGAACAAGGAGCAAACCGCTCGAAAGAGACCAAAGAATTCCGGAAGAGACTAGAGGATTTGAAAACGAGGAGCAAACCACTCGAAAGGAACTAGAGAATGTCAGAACAAGGAGCAAACCGCTCCAAAGAGACTAGAGAAATTGAAAACAAGGATCAAGCCACTCGAAAGGAACTAGAGAAGTTCAGAACACGGATCAAACCGCCCGAAAGAGACTAGGGAAATTGAAAACAAGGAGCAAGCCACTCGAAAGGAACTAGAGAATTTCAGAACAAGGGGCCAACCGGCGAAAGAGACCAGAGACATTGAAAACAGGGAGCAAGCCACTCGAAAGGAACTAGAGAATTTCCGGACAAGGAGTAAACCGCTCGAAAGAGACTAGAGAAATTGAAAGCAAGGAGCAAGCCACTCGAAAGGAACTAGAGAAGTTCAGAAAAAGGAGCAAACTGCTCGAAAGAGATTAGAGAAGCTGAAAACAAGGAGCAAGCCACTCCAAAGGAACTGGACAATTTCAGAACAAGGAGCAAACCGCTCGAAAGAGACAAGAGAAACTGCAAACAAGGAGCAAGCGACTCGAAAGGAACTAGAGAATTTCAGAACAAGGAGCCAACCGCTCGAAAGAGACTAGATAAATTGAAAACAAGGAGCAAACCGCTCGAAAGAGACTGGAGAAATTGGCAACAAGGAGCAAGCCACTCGAAAGGAACTAGAGAATTTCAGAACACGGAGTGAACCGCTCGAAAGAGGCTAGAGAAATTGAAAACAAGGAGCAAGCCACTCGAAAGGAATCAGAGAAGTTCAGAACAAGGAGCAAACCGCTCGAAAGAGACTAGAGAACTTGAAAACAAGGAGCAAGCCACTCGAAAGGAACTAGAGAAGTTCAGAACAAGGAGCAAACCGCTCGAAAGAGGCTAGGGAAATTGAGCACAAGGAGCAAGCCACTCGAAAGGAACCAGAGAATTTCAGAACGAGTGGCAAACCGCTCGAAAGAGGCTAGAGAAATTGAAAACAAGGAGCAAGCCACTCGAAAGGAACTAGAGAATTTCAGAACAAGGAGCAGACCGCTCGAACGAGACAAGAGAAATCGAAAACAAGGAGCAAGCCACTCGAAAGGAACTAGAGAATTTCAGAACAAGGAGCAAACCGCTCGAAAGAGATTGGAGAAATTGAAAAAAAGGAGCACGCCACTCGAACGGAACTAGAGGATTTCAGATTAAGGAGCAAACCGCTCGAAAGAGACTAGAGAAATTGACAACAAGGAGCAAGCAACTCGAAAGGAGCTAGAGAATTTCAGAACAAGGAGCCAACCGCTCGAAAGAGACTAGAGAAATTGAAAACAAGGAGCAAGCCACTCGAAAGGAACTAGAGAATTTCCGAACAAGGAGTAAACCGCTCGAAAGAGGCTAGAGAAATTGAAAACAAGGAGCAAGCCACTCGAAAGGAACTAGGGACTTTCAGAACAAGGAGCAAACCGCTCAAAAGAGACTAGAGAAATTGAACAGAAGGAGCAGACCGCTCGAAAGAGACTAGAGAATTTCAGAACAAGGGCCAAACCGCTCGAAAGAGACTAGAGAAATTGAAAACAAGGAGCAAGCCGCTCGAAAGAGACTAGAGAATTTCAGAAAAGGGCCAAACTGCTCGAAAGAGACTAGAGAAATTGAAAAACAAGGAGCAAGCCACTCGAAAGGAACTAGAGAATTTCAGAACAAGGAGCAAACCGCTCGAAAGAGACTATAGAAATTGGAAAACAAGGAACAAGCCACTCGAAAGGAACTAGAGAATTTCAGATAAAGGAGCAAACCGCTCGAAAGAGACTAGAGAAATTGAAAACAAGGAGCAAACCACTCGAAAGGAACTAGAGAAGTTCAGAACAAGGAGCAAACCGCACGAAAGAGACTAGAGAAATTGAGAAACAAGGAGCACGCCACTCGAAAGGAGCTAGAGAATTTCAGAACAAGGAGCAAACCGCTCGAAAGGGAACAAGGAGCAAGCCACTCGAAAGGAACCAGAGAATTTCAGAACAAGGAGCAAACCGCTCGAAAGAGATTGGAGAAATTGAGAACAAGGAGCAAGCCACTCGAAAGGAACTAGAGAATTTCAGAAAAAGGGGCAAACCGCTCGACAGAGACTAGAGAAATTGAAAACAAGGAGCAAGCCACTCGAAAGGAACTAGAGAATTTCAGAGAGCAAACCGCTCGAAAGAGACTAGAGAAATTAAAAAAGACAAGGAGCAGGCCGCTCGAAAGGAACTAAAGAGTTTCAGAACAAGGAGCAAACCGCCCGAAAGAGACTAGAGAAATTGAAAACAAGGAGCAAGACCACTCGAAAGGAACTAGAGAATGTCAGAACAAGGAGCCAACCGCTCGAAAGAGACTAGAGAAATTGAAAACAAGGAGCAAGCCGCTCGAAAGGAACTAGAGAATTTCAGAAGAAGGGGCAAGCCGCTCGAAAGATACTGGGGAAGTTGAAAACAAGGAGCAAGCCACTCGAAAGGAACTAGAGAATCTCAGGGCAAGGAGCAAACCGCTCGAAAGAGACTAGAGAAATTGAAAACAAGGAGCAAGCCGCTCGAAAGAGACTAGAGAACTTGAAAACAAGGAGCAAGCCACTCGAAAGGAACTAGAGAATTTCAGAACAAGGAGCAAACCGCTCGAAAGAGACTAGAGAAATTGAAAACAAGGAGCAAACAACTCGAAAGGAACTAGAGAATTTCAGAACAAGGAGCAAACCCCTCGAAAAAGACTAGAGAAATTGAAAACAAGGAGCAAGCCACTCGAAAGGAACTAGAGAATTTCAGAACACGGAGCAAGCCGCTCGAAAGAACCTAGAGAAATTGAAAACAAGGAGCAAGCCACTCGAAAGGAACTAGAGAATTTCAGAACAAGGAGCAAACCGCTCGAAAGAAACGAGAAAACTGAACATGCTGAGCAAGCCACTCGAAAGGAACTAGAGAATTTCAGAACAAGGAGCAAGCCGCTCGAGAGCGACAGGAGAAATTGAAAACAAGGAGCAAGCCACTCGAAAGGAAG